TATACAAATAAATATATATATATATATATATATATGTATAAATATACAAATAAATATAAAAATATATAAATAAATATATACAGTATATATATAATATATATATATATATATATATATATCAATAAATATAGTACATAATAAATAAATCTGTATTGTACTGTATTGTATTGTATTGTATTGTATCTGTATATCTGTATTTTAACAACATCTCTATCAGCGCTGCATACTTCCGGATCGACGATTCGAAAAAGTGTATGTACTGCGCATGACTGGACTACACAGGCAAAGCTTCCCGGTGAAAAAAAAAGGATTTAAAATGTATGACTCGCATGGCTCGCTGGCTCGCGCATTGGCTCGCATGACTCGCTGGCTCGCACTTTGTCACGACCCGTTTACAGGTAGGCCTAGTGTGTTAAATTCTCCAAAAACCTTCAACAACACAATTAAAAAGAAGGGTGCTTTGTCAGGCTCTAACCAACCTAGGCCTAGCTTAGGCCTCTACAGGCCTGGCCTAGGCTAGGCTTCTTACTAAAACAGTATGGCACTAGATGATAGGCCTAGGCTAGCTAGGCCTAGGCCTTCCTTGGGACTAGGCCTGAGGAGGCTCTAGCTAGGCCTGTCCCAGTCTGCATAAAGTAGTGGGCACCCGATACGCATACAGTTACTTGTTACGAGACGATGTAACTCACAGGAAGTTACGTTGTCTGCTATCAAAGAATGGCCCTACACACAGCACACGTGTGTTACTGTTAAATGTATGAGACATGTAACCATGTCACACCAAATAATATTGGTCCGGCAACCAGAGAACAAAAGAGCAACCGCCGTAGAGGGTGGGCCAAGGTGAGAAAACGTGACGGTTGACCACGAGTCAGAAAGATAGGCTTATAACATATAATAAAAGCTATTTTTTTTACCAGTTTTTGTCTGAATAATTTAGTCCAGGTCTACATTAAGCTATTATCGTGTGAAAAGGTATGTAAACTTACAAATATACCGTATCTCATGGAGGTATACCTCCATGGTATAAGACAGTTGACTTGTATCATATTGGCCTAGGCCTAGATAGGCCTGGGCTAGTAAGCTAGCCTAGGCCCTACTTGCACCTTCGCACTCTCTAGATATTCAATATTCCTGAAGTACTGGGCCTAAAGGCTTCTTTTCCCAGTTTTCTTTTGTTTTAAGACCCAAAATTTCACATGTTTTACAGTTTAACCTTACGAATATACAATCAATATAATGAAAATGACTTTCAATTTCATGATGAAGGTAGGCTTAGCTAGGCCTAATGTGGACGTCCCTACCCCGGTAGTATGCATAGCCTAGGCCCCGACCTAGGCCTCTTTGTTTCTGTTGTATGCGGGTTGCTAGGACCTTAGTGGAGTGACATCTTTACTCTGAGATGTGTAGGCCTAGGCATACTGTTCATTTTTATTAGTTTCTTTTGTAATTATCTATTGATACAGAACGTTTCCGAATGAAAAATTAATTGATTATTGAATACTACTCAACTTGAAGCGCTTATAGAGCCAATTTATTTGCCAGAAAACAACAATGGCGTAATAGTTTGTAGAAAAAAAATTAATTACCAGTAAAACTAAAATACCTGTACATTAGAACACAAGTGAAGACAAAATTAGCTTAGGATTATGGGCACATAAAATTTAAAATTATAAACGTACAAAATTATCAGGAAGCAGCTAAGTTAAATTTTTAGCTGCTCCCTGGAAATTATAGATACCTACACCTTACAAATTGGACAAGACAAAATTGAAACCAAATTGAAATATAAAAATATAACATTGCCAATTGTCGGTTAATGCAATCAATATAATAAGATGCCAGAAAGATCATCAACTGAAGCGGTGTTGTCAAATTACATGTAGCCTAATAGTTATATTATAATTTCTCTGATCAGTTGTGGGAGTTTCATGTTGCTAGATTTGCTGTTGTTAGATACAGTACACTATTCATGAAATTTATTTTTTTCTAGGTCCTAGGCCTACTGGTGGTTTAGCTGACTGGTGCCCTGTACGATCTATACACTAGTATATACTAGTGTTAAAGAGGGCGTTACTTAGCCTGGTGAGCGCGCTTTTTGGACAGAAGCATGAGGAGGTCACAGAAATAACAAATTGTACATTGAATTATAATGCATCGCCGCAGGTCAGGGGTTGTAGTCAGTAGACCGTTCATCACTGTGAGAACTGGCACGAGGCGCCAACGCCCTGTTCGTAAATATCTATATGGGTCAAGCAAAACACAAAGTATAGCTGTCAATGGACAACAGTGTCATGTACCTATCGCTCTGCAAGAGGCACCATCGATTAGAGATGAGTCACCAATGGACATTGAAACAGGAATTCAAAAAGAACATCATCCAAGTATGCATTACAAAAGGAAAGAGAAAGAGGTACATGATTGGCAAAGTGTTAGAGGCATACTTGTTCCTATCCTTATTGACAACTGGTCTCCTTGTTTGAACTCTTGTTGTAGTGCCTGTGATCTCCCTTTAAAAGACAAAATATTCCGCTGCTTGGATTGTGGTCCAAATGTGAATTTTTGCGTGTCATGTGTTTCGGTAACCCACCAAAAGTACATTCTGCATAAACCCGAAGTATGGAAAGTAAGTAGGCCTAAGCTGTTTACTCATCTGGTTTCAGCACTTGTTAATATCATTGTAATATTTCTATCATTTTTTTTTTCTCTTTGCAATTTAGTACATTGATTTGAAAAAAATGAGAGCATTACATAAATATTTATTTGGGTAAAATGCTGAAATCTGTAGTTCTACATGACTGTGTGTACTTCCACAATAATGTGTGTCAGTGGGTTTTATATTGCAGCATCTCCATTAGGTTGACATTTTATCATGACAACCTCAATACCTACCTATGACATCATCTACTTTGACCAAGTCAAGCCACTACAGTAGATTTGATTTATGTTTTCTTTTTAGTGTGGAACATTTTTACCATACCTACCGGAGATTAAAACCATCAATACAGGTCATTCACCCAATTGTGGAATAAGCATTCATCGTATTATAAGTGTCTTTGATGATAAAGGTGTGTATCAAGTATTAAATTGCCTACATACAGTAAAACAGTAATTGCAACTATAATAGTTGATTTACTTGATAATAATCATATAGACATTAATAAAATAAAATAATTAATTAATCATTCATTTATAAACAATAGACAATAGAACATTGCAATTAAGTTCTAGCCCAGCATACAGTTGTAACTTAAAACTGTTCCTGGCTAGCCAACATTGTAATGCTGAAGTAGTATTTTTTGCAATTTAGTGAATGAACAAATTTTATGCAGTACCATTAAAATTGCAGGATGGTGTATCTAGTTGACCTGTTTGTCGTTGAAATTGTGTCATTACACATTTGCGTCAAAAGAAATAAGTAGTCTGTGGTTTAGTAAAATCTGTACAATTTTGTTTTGGCTCTCATAAAACCATACATGCACCAACTTATTTTTGTACAATTGTAGGCAGATGGCATCAGCTAAATATCCAGTTCTGCTCTTGTGAAGAGGAGGTGGTAACAATGATAAAATTGAAGTTGTGGCCAGCTACAGCTAAGCAAGTAAAGGTTGCTTTTGCAATAGAACTGATGAAGTGGATGGAAATATTGCTTCTAGAATGCAAAGTTTCCACAAAGGGATTCTGGGAAGCTTTATACGGAATGATCTACAGCCTTTTCAGGTAAGTCAAAGTAGCACTATATTATTTAGACTACACTTGATGAAATATACAGGAGTTGTACTCCTGTTTTTTAATAATGTAGTACTTGTGTTTAAGTACAGTACTTCAAGAATGAATTCCCGATACTGTATTTGGCGTATCGGATCTTACCAGTGACTTTGCCAATACTGTATAGTGTTACCATGCCTCATTGTGAAAAAAATGCTTCACTTTTATCTGAAAATAAAATGTTTTAATCAAAAAAATTACTGTTTTCAAGCAAATCATTTGAAGGATTAATATGTAAATAATAGTGAATGATGAAAGATGAAACTCAAAACAGATTGAGTTGCCTATGGATGAGAGCAATATTTGATATAATAAACAGCCACTATAATTATTTATTTACTGTTTTCAGGCGAATCATTTGAAGGAGTTAATCCGTAAGGAGACTGTTTGTGAATTCAGGCATTCCTATTACAAACTGGGAAACTTTAATAAATTGGATGATGGTACTGTATGCCCTGCCTTTCCTAAGGTGAATATACTGTAATTAGCCTCCCAAAAGTATCTTGCTTCTGCAGCAAATGCAAAATTATATTGTAAAGAAAAGCTTATTAAATTTGCAGCACAGTCTGATGCAATATAACCAGTATATTTTAATTAGTAGTAATTAAATAATATTGATTATTGCTACCAAATATTACCAAGTACTACAGTAGATGTCAGTTTTGAATAATTGCTGATTTTTATAAAAAATATTATCAGACACTTCTGACTGGCTGTAAACAGAGTCTGGTCTAACCCAAAATAATCCAGTCTTTACTGCTTAAAAGGAGTATTTGTAGTGTATACATTTAATGACATTTTATACAGTGGTAAAGATGAGGAATCTTTGCTTAATGTGCAAATGCATAACCTTTAGACCATTTAGTGACATGCATAAGTTTCTAGAATCCATTAATATAGATATGAATTTTTATAATTAATAGGGTAGTGGAACAAGATTTGTTGCCATAGATGCAAATTTTGGCCTTCTTAGGCGGAAGGAGGCTAGAGATAGCATGGAGCCACCCAAACATGGTTCTAGATTTTTTTATAACAGATGAAGAAGTCAGTAATTTTGTGAATTCATACAATGACTCAACAACAGGCTTTAAGGTTTGTAGGAAGGCATATTTTTTTTCACTGAATGAAAAAAATACAATTGCTGCTCTGTAAACTATCTATCATTATGGGGCTCAGATAGTCCATTAAAGGAATTTGTGCTATTACTTTTGTTTACACTTCCATAGGAATGTAATCAGTTCAAGGCAGGTGACAAAGTACGTTCAAAATCAAGAACTTCCAAAATGGATGTGACTGGTGTATTTGGAAGCGTCTGCAGACACGAATCACCAGTATTGTTCATGAATATGCAACATGGAGAGAGGTAAAGTAGTTTCATTTCAAATTTAACTGGACATTGACTAATGTAACAGTACCTCATTTTTAATTGCCAACTGGGTTGTTGATGACATTAGTCAACTCAGAACTACTGTACTTACGATATTGATAGTCAAGTTGATAACAATGTATCTGTAGAGTTGTATTCAAAGTCACCAAATACACCAAACAGGATGAAGCTGATTAGGTCTCAGTTAATGTGTTGTGTATTGTGCTAAATGTGCGGTCGTTAAATGAGTAAACATTTATCGGGAAAAATATGTAACTTGAAAGCACAGCTCACCAAGCTGTTCACTACTGATTGAATGTGAATGAATGGTTGTTAATCTGTACAAACCATTCTTTGAATAGATGTTAAAGATTGTAACCTAAAGTATTGATTAAACTATTTCATGTAATTGTCATATAGGTTGGTCTACTCAGTGCTACTCCTGGATAAATTGTTAAATGTACCTGCCTCCAAAGACCAAAAGTTAAATGAAACATATGACATTGCCTGTGTTCTGTTTTCACACCTAAATGTTAGCAGTCAATAACAATAATTTTCTTTATGTGATTCGTTTCTGTTTTTAACTTATTAGATAATAATATTGTTAATATTGCTTAAGATGATTTACATCAGTGGCCTCATTGAGAATTGAATTTCACCAATACAGCTTATTTTGACCAATACACCTTGGCCACAGAAATGCCTGTCTAGTTGCTATTGTGTACAGTTAATTATAAATTTCCATTAACTAACTGTTTACTATACTATGGCAAGTAAACCACTTTGTTTTTTGACATCAGTACAGTAGTTTGTTACATTTAATTAATTTTGTTACATTTGGCTATTTATTATGGAAGCTTAAAGTGACATTTTGTGTTTACGTGTTTCCAATGTAATTGTGGAAACATGGAATAACATGACATTAAGACATAATATTTCCACGATAGTTTATCTCAAGTGATTATTTTTCTAGATTTGAAACCAAGATGATATGCTTGCCAAGATGCAGATGAAAATACCAATCTTCCATTGCTACGGCCACCAGGCTTCCTGTCATGTAGTATATGAAATTAATAAGCTCTCATAAGAGAAATATAAAATATGTTCCGTATCCTGTAAATCTTTATAATGTATTTTTAGGTGGAGTTTAATCCAAGAAGAACCACAGGATTTGGACTGACCGATGGTGAAGGTATTGAAAGATTATGGTCATATCTAAGGTGTTTTGCAAAAATAACTAAAGAAATGACACCATCCCACCGAGTAGATTTACTAACTGATGCCCTGCTACATTATGCTAAGCGGAAAGAGAGAAACATTGGTAATTTGCTTACTTTTAAAATGTGTTTTATAATACGAATGTTTAAAAGTCCCTCTCATGATCAGTCAATTCTTTAAAATCATGTGGGTGCATATGGCCTCCCTGAAATGTGTTTTACGAATTTTCAAAGTTTCTTGAGGTATGTATGAGTTTCTACTGTAATTCAATGTTTTATGCAAACACGTTATATTTTCATTGCGGATTTTTTGGGCTCAGTACGGACTCTAAACGTATGCATTTTCTTTTAGTTTTAAGGCGTATGCGGATTTTATAAGTCCGCAATGACGATATAACGTGTTTGCACCTCTCTTTTAACTTATTTATCTTGTAACATATTTATGTTAGGTCAACAATTTGAAATTCTATGAGAGAAAATTTAATGTAATGTGTTTGTTTTGAGCATTCTTAATGTGATGTTCAACAATGGAAAAATAAGTAAATTTGTTCAATACGCACACAAATTTTATTATGTTACACAGGGAAGCATAGTAAAGCAGTATCTATTTTGAAGAATACTGAGAAGGAGATTGGTGATAAAATCAGCCTCATCAATAAAGGTTAGTTTCTAGATAGTCAGTTATTACAAAAAGGAAAACTAATAATATTGTTATAATATTTTCATATTGTAGTATTTTTTTCTCAAACTAATTTCTAGTTATGTGCTTGTATTATTGGGTATGGTGTTCTTTCTGTCTCCATTTGAAGTGATTGGGTACCTGGTATGTTTGCTTAATTCATGTGTGGCAACACAGAATGTTCGATAGTACTGCATATGGTGTCTGTTGGAATTGGTCCACTGACCACAGCACTGACATGTTGGATTGAAATCATATTTATGTATGTTTTTCTACCTATGCAATCTCATTATTGCCAGTTTAGCATCTTGACAAGTGGATCACCCTGTAAGTCTGAATACCTATTTACAGTGCGATACTATACTATTAGGATAGGTGGTGTTTAGCAATCCCCTGCTGTTTTGAGAAAAGCCTACTGCATTCTTTAACGTGCACAGAGCCAAGTAGTACACAGGACCATCTGCTTATTGTCTCATCCTAAAGACGATGCACTAGCCTGTGTTGTTCTTGTTAAATAGGGAAAGAAACATGATGGAAATTGAACAAGCAAATACAATATCACCAAGGTTCAGTGCACACACGGTTGCTACAACCAGTTTTAACCAACCACATTAAATGCAATTGTATTTATGTATGTATGTTTGTACGTAGGTGTGTATATGTGTGTGTATTTATATGTGTATGTATTTATGTGTGTGTAAGTATCTGAAGAATTGTAGCCATCTATTGCATTTATTTATTGCAGTCATTACAGAAGAGACAATTCAAGAATGGAAGATTGAAGAAAAGGCTACTTTGTGCTCCAAGGCTAAGCCTGTTAAAGGTATTTTTTAATATATAACTTTTACATTCTCTGTTTACATAATAACATTTCAGTTGCAAAGTTTAACAGTAATATAGGAGATAGAGATGTAATTTATGGTAATTATTACTATTAGAAATACACTAATAATAATTATTATTATTATATTTGAAACTATTATATCATTTACTGTGCATTTGTCATTTTAGCTACGTGGGAAGAGATTTATGTTGAACAGCTGCAGAGACTGAATTCATTAAGGTACATTCATTTAGTGGTGTGTCAATTGCAATATGATTCATGTTTTATGAGAGTTAGATACATGTTTTATCTGTTGCCTTGGCAATACAATTGTCATGCTTAAAATGTATACAAATGTTATAAAGCCAATACTTAATTTAATTCACTTCTTTTAAACACTTAAGTGAGTGTATACAAGAAGACAAGGATCCAGATTTAATTGAGCAGTATACTAGGTAAGGGTATGTTTTCTTCTACCATGATTGCATAGGTTTAGTATACATATTCTCTGCCCAAGAAGTTAATCATTTCATTTGGTTATAAACAAACTATCTGTGAACAATCTGATTTTCAAAGATATTATAATACATAATTTCTTTTTTCTTAGAATGGTTACATGATAATCTGGATGCTAATAAATATTTTAAAACAATAGTGCCAGTATTTCAGGGACACTTTCCCCTTCCTCATTAAATTATATCAATTATATAGTCTGTTGCATTTCCTATAAATAGTTATTCATTTCCAAGTATGTATGTTTTTTTTTGGATGTTTTGTTTTTATTTTTTCCACTATTTATTAGCGATATACTGTATTAATTTGTTGATTTTATTGTCGACAGACTGCAGAAATTTGTTGCATGTTTAGAGAAAGCAAAGGGAATCAGCAAAAGATGGCACAAAGATGAGGTAAAATATATATCTGCGAATGATGTCCTTCAAAGAAGGTGCCAAAAAAACATCCTTGACAAGATGAGGGAAGGAGCTCAAGAACGGATGTTTCTTTTGGACTTGAAAAAGAAGTATTATGGTACTTAACATGCCATTACTTATTTTTATAAACAATTAAAACTTGGAGTGGTCTGGTGTATGCATTAGGTATGTAAAATAGTTTCTACTGTACTGATATACAGGATCACATACTAGTTTAAACCATATTAGTTAAATGCTTGTATTATGAAAGAGTTGATGAAAATTACCCAAAACATGTGGAAAAAAAATCAATGATGTTATATATGAATTTGATATATTAAGCATGGATTAACAACTCCTTTTGTAAAATTAATATAGATGGTCAGGCAGTTGCAAAGAGATTTTGTGGTCAAGTTAACAGGTCAAGTTAACAGGTCAAGTAACAATCTAAAGAAGTTCTTGCTAAGTTTAAAGCATTTGGTGGAAATGACAATACAACATTTGCTGATCTTTCCAACCCGGATGGCAACATCTACCTTCCAGCATGTGAGGTAAGAACTGCGTTAACATATTATGCTTTTGGATTTTGTTTACATCTGATTGGAAGTGTTTCCAAATTTTCAAAATAAGGTTTTTTAAATTTTAATGTTGACTGTTTCTATAATTAAAAAAAAATTTTAATTAAAATATGCTTGAACTCCTACTGCAATTTTAAACAGGAATACAGTACCAGTCTTGCAGCAAGCTTGCTTCAATATCACATAGGCTTGCACCAGATCATGGTGTTCTATTTAGTATGTAAATTTTGTAGGCTGGGAAATCCTGCATGGACACAATGTTAGGTCCATAACATTTTTGGCGCTCAGTGGCAAAACATCTATAAAATGAGGTTGTAAGTCATTCAAACATAATTTATCAATTTTCTCAAATACTTTTCATTTACAACTAATGAATATTAGGACTATGAAATCATTCCTAATACCATATGGCAGGTACACTTGGGCTTTTTCAATATTCTCAAATCACTCATTGTAGTCTGTGAAACATCTGTTTGATTATATGCGTAATGTTTGATATAATTACATGTTGAATGTGTTTAAAGGTTGTGTAATATGGTAATTGATATTGATCCACTTTTTATTCCAACAGACCTCTGAAGTACCATTGATCCAGAAGAGGGAGATAATTAAGCTGTCTTTCTTAAAAGAAAGAGCACAGGAGGAAATTTTTTTTGTAGAAAGAGAGATGGAAAATGTAATGACGTACTATTTGAGTCAGCAAGAAATGCACTGTCAACGTATTGCACAAGAAAATGTTGACCTAAGCGAACAGTCCTATCTTGTTGACCAAGTTTTAAAATTGGAGAGAATTATAAAAGGCTTGGCAAACCGATTTTGCAATACCATTGATGTGCCAACTCCACCAGATACAATTTCAAACATGATTCAGGACAATGTCATTGCTCATGTTATAACTGATGACAGTAAAGACAAAATGGTTAGTGATGATGAAAATGAGAATGATCAAGATGAGGAGGATTATGATTATGTTGACACAGATGAGGATAGTGATACAGACTAGCTGAAAAGTGACATATTCATTGGCAAATTAATACTCAGTAGTTGTTAGGGCTAGTATTTTCAGCACCCGCTTTCAAATTTGCGTCAGGAGAGTGGATGAGGGTGGAGGTGCAAACATTTTAGGCTTATTTTATTTAACTGTGTAATCATTTTTGCGGAGATTGTTTTGTTACAACGTTTAATATTGGATTCTCATTGATTGTTCCCTGATGTTATTTGATTTTATAACTTATTTCTGATACAGTAGTATCTTCCAAGTTCAAATAGTGTGTATTTGAATAGTTGGAATCTGTGGACCCATAGTACTGAAAAAAAGAGGGAGGGAAATTTTGTAATACATTATTATAACTTACAAACACAACCCATCAGGAAATCAAAATTATAAAATGACCCGTAACTAAAGTACATATATATGTGTATATGTGTATATATATATATATTTATATATATATATATATATACCTTTATCCGGCTCTTAAGGGGAAATTCTTTTGTCTATGATTTCGCCTTAACGTCGCTTTAGTTTCCCCTTAGCGACACTACTTTCGCCTTATGGTACTGTTTTTAACCACTTCATTGTTTTAGTTTCCCCC